TTTGTTTGTTTGTTTGTTTGTTTGTTTATTTTCATTAGAGGAAGATGGTTCCAATTTCTGTCTAGAAAAAGGATAAAACTCAAGGGTGGGCCTAGAATTAGAGTGATCAGATTGTTCCTTTGAGACACTCAGAAAAAAACATGACTCATCTTTGCTCTCAGATGAGCCACCTGGTATGCATGCTGGAATTAATTCAGGGAACTGAAATTGTGTTTTATTTGGTTAATTTCCCAAGAAATTACACTTGGGAAGTATAACAGGTAACCTTGAGCATTAACATAGTTGCTGTTGTTCTGGCTCACATTTTCTGGGGAAATACACACCCACACACAAGCGTACCTCCTATTTGGTGATTTTTTTTTTTTTCTGGACATCAAAGGAAATCACAGCAGCAAAATGCCTTGATGGCATTTTCTCTCATTTAATATTTTAATTTGCATTTGGGAGAATAAAGTAATCAAAAACATGAAACATCAACCACTATTCAAATTTGCTTGCCAAATTCCCAAGGAAACAAAGCATCAATACTAAACCAATCTCTTTTCTTTTTTGTGCTCTGCATAGCTCACATCTATTTTGGCACCTAGTTTAATTTGTTTCTTTAATCTTTATTTTGCCTTTTGACTTAGATTACTAATAGCCTTAGCTAAAATAATTAAGTTTTGCTGGATCTCTCTCTCCTCCTTTCTCTTCTCCCTCCTTTCCTCCCCCCCTTCCTTGCAATTCCCAAATAAAAATACTTAAATAGCTTTGATTTGGTGTGCTTTGTGTATCTCTGTTAAAAAAAAAAAAAAAAGTGGAAAAGACTGTTGTTTCTGTGGGAACTGGGTTTATTTCACCAAGTTGCATGCTTGTCTATTGGCTAAAGATCCTCTAATGGATAAGTATTAGGCCATAACCAAACATACCCGGTAAGCATTCCTTCATAAAACAAACATCTTGACTCTGAGGGCGATTGTGAATCTAATCATGTGTACCAAACTCTTTCTGATCTTCCTATGATACTTGCAGTTCCTGTACATATTTATGACCAGAGATCAGTTGTCAATTACACCTGATAAATGATCAAAAAGAAAAAAAAATAGAAGGAAGCAGAAGTAATGCTTGAAGAAGAGCATAACGTAAACTTTAGCATAACTTAAGAGCAGGATACAGAGAAGAAGCAAGGAAAAAGTCAACAGCACTTTCACAGGCCTTCAACAGTACTTGTAATCAGACTCACACATAACCTGCATCTTCAGAACCAACTTCTCTTTCTCTTCCTTTTTCATTCCCCCACCTCATCTCATCCCACTTTAAATCCTACATCAAAGTAACCATTTTATGTCTCTGATGAAGTGAATTCTAGCTCATGAATACTTATGCCTTTTATTGAATCTCCCCTCCATCACCTTTGAAAAACATGACATCAAATCTCTCCAGTGTGAAACTGGAGATTGTGTTGTCAAGATGTTTAGGAATGGCATATGAGGTACCACTAAAGTCTCTGTAGGTGTGATGTGAAGATTTGGACCTCTCCTTGTGCAAATTTAAGTCAAGCCTTTCCTATTTTACTTTAGTCATGGCGTTTTCTGGGCCAAGCATATGTAGACCATGGTTGAGAACTGTTTTAAAACAGGTCAGACATTGTCAAGTGCTGAATTTCAGGATATGATCAAGGAAGAAAGACTCATACAAGCTCCTATCAGGAAGAATTAGGGGAAAGAGCTAGAATCTTGGAAACTGTATTAAGATGCTTTAGCCCTCTTGTTTCCTTCCTTCCTTCCTTCCTTCCTTCCTTCCTTCCTTCCTTCCTTCCTTCC